CCGTCGATCTTCTCGGACTTCTTCCGGTGACAGAGGTTTCAATACCACCTTCTTACCATTACGGCGAAACTTGTAACAGTTGGTGCTTCCGTCATGTGTTACGGCACGTTCGAATTGCCAGGGTCTCCCTAGCAACAAGTGAGCCGCTTGCATTGGAACTACATCGAACTCGAGCTCGTCGTGATAAGCTTCGACCTCAAATTTGACCTTGGATTGGCCGGTCACTCGCACAGCACCGTAATCGTTGAGCCAATGGAGGTTGTAGGGCTCTGGATGTTTTGTAGTCTTCAACCCGAGTTTGTCTACTGCGTCCTGGCTGATAGCGTTGACACAGCTGCCTCCATCTACGATGACGGACAACACTTTTCCAGCCACCAGACAGCGAGAGTGAAACAAATTCTCTCTCTGGTTGGAGTCTGCCTGAGCTTCCTTGGTTAGAGATCGTCGATTAACAGTCATAAGCTTCCCAGGTGCTGGTTCCGCCTCAATCTTTTCGTCGACATCACTGTCATCAGAGTTCTGTTCGTCGTCCGTAAGATATTGGCCATCTCTGACCACCAGGGTCTTCAAATTGGGACATTGATTTGCCTTGTGCCCTCTCCCGTGACATTTGAAGCACTGGATTCCCCCAGATCGTTCGCTGGAAGTGGATTGAACATTTCTGGGGTTCAATTTCCCTTGATCAACACGAAGTGGTTGGGAACTCACCTCGGCGGTAGGTTCGACACTGGGCTTGCTCGTAGTTGTACTCCGGCGTGTCAATTTTTGTTGCTTCTCAATCTTGATTGCAAGGTGCAAAGCCTCCTCCAAGTCAACAAAGGCTCGAAGCTCCACCTCCTGCCGAATTTCCCTGTTCAGACCGTGTAAGAATCGAGCAATCGTTGCTTCCCGGTCTTCTCGCACGTCGGCCCTCATCATCAGTAGCTCTAACTCCCGAAAGAATTCTTCCACTCCTCTTGCTCCCTGGCGAAGTCCTTGCAGGGATTCATGAAGCTCACATTGATAGTAGGTAGGGACAAACCTGTCCCTCATTAATCCTCGGAGCTCATCCCACGTCGCCACCGGATTCTGCCGATTTTGTTGTCGGCGACGTTGGAGCTGTTCCCACCATTGGGCAGCATAGTCGGTGAATTCAAACGTGGCCATTGCTACTTTCTGAGCCTCGTTGAAGTGGCCGCACTGGAAGAAGAGTACTATCTTCCTTTCCCAATCCAAAAACGTCGAGGGGTTCAGGGTGACCTGAAACGACGGCACTGCAAGCTTGACGCCCGGCGGCATTCCCTGCTCCGCTTCTTGCTGCCGCTCGCGCCGATCGCGAAACGGTCGTTCTTGCTGGGGCTCAGCCACTACCAAACGTCTTTCCAATTAAACAATCCTGTCCAACCACTCCGGATTGCCAGCTGGGTTTTCTTCTTCGCGTTCTCCTCCTTCTCTGTTTCTGTTTTCCGGCCGAGCAATTGCGTCAATTTTTTGATCCAATTCTTGCCTGAACTGCCCCAATCTCGTGTCAATCCGCCGCATTAACTCCTCTATATCAAATTGTTGACCCGCCATGGCTTGATCTTCGAGTTGGTCTTCGGATTCACGCACGATGCTTCCCTCTTGTTTTTCTTGTCGAAGAGCAGGGTCTTGTGAGACAGGATCCTTCGACCTCGTCCAAGGCGGCGCTCCGGTCACGCCCTCCTCCGTTCTGTCCGCTGTGTAGAACACAGGCTCTGATGCCACTTAATAAGCCCCTAACTGGTAGCTTGGATCAGAGTAGGCACAACAACCGATCCAATCAAGGATTGAATCGACTCTGAACAACAAACTCAAACATAGTTTGAATTTCGTGTTCGGATGGTGTCTTTCGTGCAACTTTCTCGCGGGGAAAGAGGCTCGGAGACTTAGGTAGTTGCTTGGCCACGAGCAGGGTGTATACCTGCACGATACAAGCTCAAGATCGAGCCTAGATAACCCTAGGACGATCTCCAAATTCGCAAAGCAAAACGCTATGGAACTCAAAACCACTCGGTTTATTTTATTCAACTCTAAACTGTCAATTACAATGAAACAACGAGTTTAAATAGCCCTAAGTACTCCTAAGAACTTGTGAAGAAGTTCAATTACATTCTACTTCGGAAAGGAACCCAAAACAAGCATAGAAACGGATTAACTTAAAACAGATTTCTAATCCTAACCCAACTAGGATAGGCAAAATGCCAGCTTCGATACGAACTTGGACCTTCTCGTTCGAGCTCTTCCAAACCTCAATCCAATCACCCAATGCCTTGTCGTTGTAGAGTAGAACTTGTAGTTGGATGTTGTCCAAACCTCCTGCTTCGACTCTCTTCCATTTGTTTCAAATAGGCCTTCAAAGTCAGGACCTTGAACTGGCTTTGACACTTAGCCAATTTCTGGCAAATTTCCAGTTTCACTCTAGCCTCTTGAGAAGCTTCAAAATCAATTATCCTGGCTTCATCTTGAACTTCCAAGCACTCCCTCTTGCAGAACAACTTCCAAGCTTTACAACAAGTCTTACCTTGTCCATTTTCATCACGGCATTGGAGAGTTCCACCCTTGCAAAGAGAGTATCTTGCACCTGAACACATACTTAGCCAAAATTGGTGTTTCCCTTGTTCAATTGAGCTTACTTCTTGCGCAAGTGATTGTGGCTTGTAAGGTGGGTCAAAATGGATCATATCAAACTGTCTTTATCAGTTAAAACTGATAACCAACTAACCATTTACCACCCCTAGCCAGAATCACACATGCTTCGTTTTTTGTTTTTGAAAAGAATGCATAAAGCAAGTTTCGATTTTGGTTGAGTTTCAATACCTCTAAAACTTGTAGAAAAAATTCTATATATCTCTATCTAAAACTAGAGGAGGTTGGTGCTATTTATTGGAAATGAATAGGTGCATGTGAAATGAGACAACTCTTCGGATGTGTGGTTAAACCCAAATCATTGCATTAGTTCGTTCAAAATCTCCAATCATTACGTCGGGTCATCCTATGATAGGATTTACTCCAAGAACCATCCAAGTCCGCTTCGGTTAAGATATAATCGATGTGATTCAAGTTGGTTACACAAACCAATCCTAATGAGTATCTAAAGATCAAATTTATTGAGAGATCTAAACTGTCTTCTCACATTTCACCAACATAGTATTTCAAGAGAATACCACATTTCTCTTCACTCCTTCCTCTTTTCATTCACATTCACACCAACCAAAGTCTCAACGAACTTTGCTGCTAGCCTGTCGATTGAGTGTGTGCGATATATTGCTGTCAAGAGCGTGCCCGTTGTGTGCATCGATCTATTGTGTGGGTACGAAGAGGTGAACGTGACTCCTCAGAATTTCCAACGCAACAACACCTTGTGGTCCTAACTATAAACATATACACAGTCGATCCTTTTTGCCTCTTCACTTTATCGTATGGTCTAATAAACTTAGGTCCATCCAAAGTCTGCAACCTTTGCTCTAGCCACAATAATAATTCATATATAGGTGAAAACCTTATAAATGTTTTGGCACTGGATCTGGATCGATCAGCCGACGCCCGACAGAACGATAAATCTTTAAAACATTACCAGTCGGAGGCTCTTTTCATGGTGAGAACGAATCCTAATTACTGTTACTATTTACTAATACGAAAAAGATGATCCCATTAAGGTTTATTCGTCATTATAATTAGCAGAATACACGGTTAGACTTAGAATTGAGGACTCTACTTACTTTAGGTACGTGTGTATAGGTAAATTACCTTATTATGTAGAGGTTCCTAAGCTGAACTGTTTGTGAGGGTTTGTTTGTAAACCTAGAGCCTATATACATGATATACACTGAATCCTATAAAGCAGTTAAGCTGAATAAAATCGTTCTTAGGGAGTTCTATCTCTCTCGTGACTAGCTAGTTCCGATGAATTACGAGGGAAATCATGTAAACTTTTGTGTTCATGTTCTTCGATTTCTATTGATCATGTTCATCATCATATGGTATAAGAGCCTCAAGACTTTTGATCATTTCGGCCGGCTTTGATCATCTGTCTCAATTTTGTTTGCTGCTCGCTAGGGTTCCTATCTTGGGTTGTTCTCTTGTGGCATGAATATACCATAGCATAGAAGGATTTTATACTTGGTGATATGAATATTTCCTATAGTATAGAATGGTTTTATACATTATAATAGGAAGGAATATACTAATCACCATTAACCATCTTTCCCAACGGTTTACCATCAGTTGTCACCCTATACCATGGTGGTATATGATGGTATTTTTGGTCATCAATTTTTTCTTATAAATTTATAAATCACCACGAACACGTTCCTTCTCTACAATAATTTTGAGTTGAAAACGAAGGTGGTACCAGAATGATAATGAGTGGTAATGCATGGTATGAAAAAATTCGCAAAATATATAAAATATGAATGTCATTTTAAAGATTGCAATGAACACTTATCATCTGTGAAAAAAAGAAATTCAAAATTTGAGTTAGTATAAATAAAATACAATTTGATTAAAAAATAGGAAAATAAAAATATTTTTAATCTCAGTTTTTAGATTTGACCTTACTCAAGTTAAGAGGTCAGATTTAGTTATGTCTTAGACTGAAATACCACCCCACCACGTACATTTCCATTAATTGCGAAAAAATGAAATGTGAAGCTTACCCATAGGAGTGGAAGATGATCTCTTAATTAAGAATGGATAGCAGCAACAACAACACAAGTAACTGATTAAGAGAGAAAGACTAACTAGATAGCATGGACGTTACTTTCAATATTTCGTGATACAAAAGTAGGGGCAAATCAAGGATAGCCAAGCAAGGCAATACAAACAAAACAGAAAAAAAAGCATGAGTACAAAAGATATGTACATTTTAGCCTACTATTTTGTTTTCTCCTCCTTCACCATAAATTCATGTGATCTTCTAAGCCATATCCCTCATACACCCACCAAATGCTAAACAACAAAACCTAAATAAATAAATAAATAAAAACAGCCCTACCTCCTACACCATACCAAGTTCTTCATTCTCCTACTACCAAGTACCAAAGGGAAAAAGGGTGTTCTTCATTCGTAGAAACAGCCATGTCGTCTTCTCCCCACCACGAACTTGTCTCCATTCCCTTTTTGCAGCCTTATAACAAAATATGCAAAAGGAAAAAAAAGAGCACAACAACTTGCCTTGCCCTGTCCCTCTTATCTCATGTCAATGTTGCATGAATCATCCCATCCGACATCATTCACGCCACTCTTCACGGAGGACCATTTCTAGTTTTTGCTCCAAAGCAACCCGAATCAGAATCAGAATCGAATCGAAACAAGACCGAACCTAGACCTCCCCCTACCTTGTATCTAAATTCCTAAACCACTAACTTCAATTCTCCCCTAGACCACCTGGCACCCAAGCTGTGGCAAAAACCGAGTTGTGTCCCTTCCAAGTGAGCACCAACATCTCCTCGTCTCTCTTCATCCCCCAACCACTAGCATGCTCATCCAACAACGACTTCACTTCTTTAACACTCTCCTCACAGAACATCACACCCGAGAACCCTACCTTCTTCATCCTCTGACATAGCTTCGCCCCAGACTCCAACCTCTCCATCCTCTGGCACCCTTCGTGGCTGATCACGTTCTCAATCTTATGCCCTACATCTGACTCGTACTCGATCCTCTGCGCACTGTCTTTAGGTAGAAATGTCTCCAGAGCATCGAACGGGATCCACAGGTAGTTGAAACAGTTTGTAATCCTCGTCGTCAGGCTCGACACGTTGAGATCCGCATCCTCATCGACCACCACGACGATGGCCGGATTCAACCCCATTATCGTATGGAGGAAATCATCCCTCAACGACGAACCCGCAGACTGTTCCTCATCGTCGTCGGGCATGGAGCGAAGCCAGTTCTGGCAGTTCACCACGATGACCTCGTCGTCCCTGAACAACGAGGACAGCTGGTGCGGATCCACTAGGCTGGTTAGCAACGACTCAAAGTAGCGGTGGAAGGTATCATACATGGAATTTCTACACGAAGCAATGTTGTTGTTGTTGTCGAAGGTACTCCCTCCTCCTCCTCCTCCGATTATATTGAACTCGAACTCTACGTCACGAAACCTAGCGAAGTTGCTCAACCTTTGGCCGACATCCTCGCACGAGACGTTGAGGAAAGGTGGGACGGGTGGCCGGACAGACGGCACGGTGATTCTTAAAGACGGCGGCCCTTCGGGGCGTTTCGCCAGCGCGTCGATGAGAGTGGGCCACTGAACGCAGTGGGTGACGCTGAAATCGAGCACGTGGACTTTGGAGCAGCCTCGGATCGCCTTGAATATCGCGCTGTTGGAGGCGCAGAACCCGAAGGTGTGCCAAGGGATGAGGTCGACGTACCCGGCGAGCTCGGTGACGGTCATCTGGCGCCGCTTGTCGATGGCGGCGGAGCCGTCGAAGTGGTGCATGGTGGCGGTGGGGCAGACTTTGGCGGCGCGTGAGATGAGGGCGCGGAGGAACCAGGAAGTGAGGCGCTGGTTGGGGTCGCCGCTGAGGGAGGCGACGTTGTTGAGGACCCACATCACCTGCTGGGCGAGCGTCCACTCCTTGCCTTCGAGGGCGCTGGCGCAGTGGAGGAGGAGCTTCTCGATGCACGCACCGTCGAGGCTGCCCAGGCACCCCGTGAGGGCGCCGGAGATGGTCGGAGCTGCCACGGCGGTGGTCGTGGTGGAGGAAGGTCGTTGGTGGGGAGTAGGAGGGGTGGCAGTGAAGAGTTTGTTGTTAGGGTTTTGGATGGAGATGGACGCAGCGGCGGTATTTCCTCTGAGCTCGGTCTTCATGGCTCTGCTGGCTGCTATGACGATTTTGAAGGATTCGAATTGAATTGAATCGAGTCGAGTTGTGAGTTTGTGATCCTCAGAGGTTGGAAAGGAACATGTTGTTTTTTATGAGGTGAGGGTTGTTGGGGAGGATGTTTCTTTAGGGTTTTGAGTGAAGTTGGGAGCTTGGTTGGTGATGGTAGATGAGAGATGGAATTGGAACGAGAGGAGTGAATCAAAGAGAGCCATATATATATAGAGGGAATGTTTATGTTGAATAATTATGGAGAGTATGAGGCCGAAAACTTTCTTGCTGGAATGAACCTCTCACTCTCAAGATAAAACAAATATATATTATAGACCATTTCCAAATTTCCATTTGTAGTTGAATTATGGTTGGTGTGATGACTAGTGACTCTCAGCACAGAACCAAATCATGACTTTATTTATTTATTGAATGTAAATGGCCACTATGAGTAGAGCATTTGTAGCTAGTTATAACTATGAGTAGAGGATTTATATAGTGGTAAAAGGTGGGCTAGTTAGTTAGAACTAATAAGTAAAAGTTTACATAACTCATAAAATTAGATAAAATTTTGAACAGAGGCAGAGAATGAATAAATGCCATCAACGTACGCAATCAATCAAACTTGATGAAATGTAGCAGAGAGACGGATTGAGAATGAATTTTATATGAGTTTCATGATTGAATGTTTTATCAGTTTCCTGTATCATTCTCTTTAAATGAGTGCCCGCCAACTAGGTTTGAAAACTTTTGTACATGATTATTATAGCGTTCGTACATCAGATCTCTTGATCATGAGAAATAAGAGCCACGCAGAGACTGAACGTAGCTAGTCTGTTATTAGCTCAGTAGAGAGCTTGCGAGTTGACTCACATAGGATTCCTTAAAAGTGTACTGTTCACTCATGTTTTGTTGCGTGTGCAAAAGTAGTCCGAATCCGATAAATATTGGTCGGTCAGAGAGAGTTCTTTGGATTTGGAATTAATCCTTAGTTAATTACCCTCTTAATAATTCCCCTTTCTTTATATATACATGACTTAGTAAGGTTAAGGATAGGTTAAGAAAGTTGTCTTAGCCGGCTGCTCTTTTGTCGAACTTGTGACCAATTCGAATGGAAATGAATTAAGGACAAATCAAACCCTAATGAGTACATTAATTTTAATTAACTAATTAATTTCGTTTAGGTTTAATTCATTCCTTAAAATAATTTTTATCTATTTGAGTTTCGTCCCTTATGGTTGATGGCTACCCTTCATTCCATCCTTCCACACACGCTCATGAAAAAATAATTAAAAAAATAGTAAGATAGAAATTATAAATTGGTTGTGTATTATGATCATGTGTAGCCAACGGTGAAGACAAGGCAGTCCTCTTCCTACCTGCAGGGGCCCATTCGATAATTTTACGTATTCTCTCTAGAAATATTAATTAGATGATATAATGTGTACAAAATTCTTCATTCCAACCAACATTAAATATTAAATCATAAAATTGAGAGATCCCAACGTAACCGATAAGTAAAAAAGTATTACGCCAATCAGTCCTGTGTAGTGAATTGGACATCTGAGATCTTTGTAAGGTTTCATAATATGAGAAGTTGTGTGTTTGAGGAGTAGGAGATGCAATGAGTACATGAGATAGTGCAGTCGAAGATGAAAGTTTACTAATCATCAATATGGGTGAGATAGCATGACTATCACTAATGGTGAAAAAATGACATCCCTATTAATTATAGGCTTTTAAGATAATTAATTTGTGTTGCATTTAATAATCTGATTGAATAAAAAACTCATATTAATTACTTTCCATTTTTCAGTGCAATAGTAGTTGTATCAGTGCAATGGTATCAGTGTACATGTGTAATAATAGTTGTATCAGTGCAATGATAGTTCAAAAAGGGAATGTAATATTAATATGCGTTTAGTGTACAATTGCAATGATAGTTGTATTAGGGCAATGGTAGTTCAAAAAAAAAATAATTAATATGAGCTTTTAATTCTCAAAGATTATTAAATGCAACACAAATTTAATATAAAAAACTATAATTAATAGATGTGTCATTTTTCCAACCCCTTAGAGAGGTTAGCAAGCTAACCGACCTCAACATGGAGCAAGCAAATGAGCACGACCCGATGTCTTATAAGTAACTTTTTGTAAAGGTCGTCTTTCATAATAAAGATTCACATCAATAATATTCTCTTCTAACAGTGTACAAGAGAGCATACATATAAATATATAATGAAAATTAGACCTAAAAAAGTGTTATTCATTAAGATATAGCAGGAAAAATGTTGTGAATTAATGTAAAAAGGTCTGAATTCAGGTCCTTTTAAACCCTTTTTTCAAGGAGGATCTTAAATTACTATGATTGGCTTATTCAATTTTAGGTAGTTAAGGAGGAGTTATTAGTTAATTAGTTGTTAAGGGTATTTAGGAAATTGTAAATAAATTAAAAACGTAACCCTAACCGTGTATAAACCTTTGTTTTTTTTTTTTTTTTCATAATCTGCAGCCATGGTTCAAAAAGGCACGCTTAACTTTACGCTTAGGCACGCCTAGGCGTAAGGCAATGACAAAATGCCTCGCCTAGAGGTTCCGCGCCTAGTTAGATACTGGAACACTTTAATAGAGTAATACAACAAATAAGTTTCTCCTAAACATTACTAGATGGAGCTAGGAAGTCAATATTAAAGGAGAAAATTAACATCAACTAAGAAATTAATTTTCTCTATCAGTATTTTCAATAGCTCAAGAACTTTGTGAGCTATTGAGCTATGATTCTACGAATTTGTGAGCTATATTCTTGTCATTAAGTGTTGAGTAAATTATTAATCATTTTAACCGAAGTGAGGAAGTGTTGTAAATTATTATTTCATTCATCACGCAGTGCGAATAGCTATTTTTCTTCCAACGCCTAGGCACGCTTAGTATATGCCTAGGCGAGTTAGGCGCTAGGCAAACGCTCAACGTTCGCCTAGCGCCTTTTTGAACTTTGTCTGCAGCCGAACCGTTTCTCTTATATTATATTGGTCAGTTTGTTTAACCAAATAGTCTTTAGTTTTAATTTTTTTGGTGACATTAGTAACTTTGAAAATACCTTTATCAATTTGTTGATTCCACTACAAATTATTTTATTCCATTATTAAGTTTTACTTGTATAACGTTATTTGTAATGTTGTTGCTCACGTTTGTAATTGTTTAAGATGCAATTATTAATTTTTTCGTGTTATGTTTCAATTTTGCATGTTAAAGTTCATTAGAAACTCATATTATTAACATTATTAAGATATGTTCTTGACTTTGTGAAATGGCATTATGAATATAATCGTGATATGTTATTAACATATTATGATGGTATTTATCGTTATTCGAGAATGAGTGATTAATATATTTATATGTCATTGTAATTTTTTTTTTTTTTTTGCCAGTGATTCACAATATGCCGCATACAAAGAATACGTAAGTCTCTTTCGCTTAGTAAGACTATGCAGAAGAAGGCAGATGCACCCACAACTGATGAGATTCGCTTACTGGTCAGGTGCATTGTGTCTCAGGTTCGCATGATGGTTAAGAATATTAGCCCACCGTCATGAGGCTATGATTCAAAGCTATGGGTTTGGCTTCGTTCTTAACTTGCAGATGTGTAGCATCGACCAACCTTAGGCTTCCATATCTGACAGAGCAGGTTTATAGGAACGACCTACTCCAGGTTGCTTCACAATTGGGTTCCTAATTCGGCTAAGATTATTCATAAGTGATTTGCGTACTTGACAGAGTTCTACCTCTTTTTCTTTCACTATATTTAGATTTCCTCTTTCAAACATTGAAAGTCACAATGTCAAGGTTTATGTTGACATTTTTATGGTCGGATGTCTTTATTTCTCCAACTTGGTACGGACCATATATTGACACTGTTTCGTTTTACTATCATTAATCCGTATTATTAATTAATGTATAATCGTTGTCAACGTTTCTTGAGCGGATTATAAATACATTCAAACTTTATCATTTTCTAATTAATATTATCATTTTCTACAGAACTTTAAGCCTCAAAATTTAAACATGGCACGAAAAAATTGATAATTGAATTTGAAACAATTACAAACGCGAGCAAATATTTTTTACCTACAACTCTACACAAGTAATTACAATCGGCCTGCAATAATTGGTATTGTTAATCAATCTCTGGTCGTTGTCAATGTTTTTGTTCATTTTATTAATAATTACTACCGGTCAGCAATAACATCTCCGAAATGACAATATTAATCTATGTTCGTGACTTTGTCAAATTACATTATGCATAACCTTAACAAATCGTTTTTTGTAATTTGTTTTGCTTATGTATGTAATGTTTTAAATGACATTATCAATCTTTTCGTATTATGTTTCAATTTTTTTGTCATAAAGTTCATTAGAAAATGGTTAAGGAATTTTTTTTCGTATTTGTACCTTTCTTTTCCGGCATTATCAACAATCTTACATTTTTAACAAATAATGTTTCATTGTCAAAAAGATCAGCAACTACGTCACCAAATATTCACCATCCTAAATCATCCGAAACCGCATACTATGTCCACAAAGATAACTATGTCTACCCTGAAACTCGATACCAACAAACCATCCACATCTAAACTAATGTCAAGACCAAACACCTCGTTTTTCCTTAACCGTCAACAAATGCAGTATCCAATGAAATCTCATCTTGGCTTTCGTCCATGTTGTGGCCAATATCGTCCCCTTCCAAGTTGACATCACAAGGTAGTTCATTTAGGTCTGTAATGTTGATGAGATAACAAATGCGTAAGCGTTGTAGCAACAGAATTATTAAACAACGTTATTAATATCAAAAAGAAAACATACAACAATATAATAACTCGTCCTTCCGCACTAATATTTACCATTAACAACAAACGTACACGCTATTATTAACTACATCTTGTTTAATTATTAAAGCAAAAACTATATTACCAACAAACAAATACGCTGTTTTTTACCATTTTCATTTACAATTTCTAACTCACAATAACATTATTATTATTATTTTCAATAATGTCAACGCACTACGTACGTTATTAACAACTAAGTCGTTCTTATTACTCATCACCCCTTTTTGAATTATTAATACACAACGACATTATTAATATAATATCTCGTCCTCCCGCAAACATATTTAACATTAACAACACACATGCACGTTATTAT